ATATTCTCTTATTAACTAAGATTATGTCGTTAAAACCCGGTTCGTGGTTTGGGGTTCCACCAACGAAGATTTTTTCCTTTTGGGAACAAAGGATTTTCTTCGGCGATTTACCCCCCGTCCAGTCGGTAGTCGCGACCCATCGGGGGGGGGTGGTGAACAGGGGGAAAAACTTAACAAAATTAATTCTTTAGCAATCAAATCATTTTTTTTAAAAGTAATTTTTTTAAATTTTTCAAAATTTTTTTCATGTTTTTAATTTGAGATAAATATTTTCATGGCCAAATGCGGGGCATTTTTTTTTTTTTATTACTGAATGGGTAATAAGTGGTGGCATACATTAACTATTTTTATTGTAGTTGGGATAAGTAACTATTTTGTGAAAAAATAAAATTTTTTATGGATGTGACCTTCAGTAAAATGTTTTATGTTTCTATTGTTTTTAAATTTGATTTTTGTCAAGTGTTAAGGCATTTTTCTGATGTATATTAATATGACTTTAATATAACAGGTGTAAAATTTATTTTTAAATATTTGATTAATCCTATATGTATAAAATTATTATTTTAAATTTCTAAATGTTAATATATATTATTTCTGGTGTTATTTATGATTTTCTTTTTTAATGCATAAATGGAAAAGGTTAAAGGTGTAACAATGTTATAAATTTTAATATTTTGTGAATATAGGTTGTAATTAAATTGGTGTATTTTTTTTGTATAAAATCAAATGTTTAGTGCTTCTTTTTATAAAAATATAAGTAGTAGTGTAAAAATAGTGGTGTAGCATTGTTTAAAGCATACCCATTTTTTAGCAAGCATGTCAAGTATGTAGCATTTTAAATTTTTTTCTGTCCAGTTTGTATCAAGCAGTCCAATATTGTATATGTCAACTATGCTAAAGCCCCTGCTTCACCACGTAGGGCCGGGTTCGTTCCGGCGGGGGGAAAAACATTTCGACGTTTTTCCCTTACACCCGTTTTTCCCGTTCACTGCGCAAATAGGTAACTGGGTGTTAGTCGACTGGAGTGGGCGATCTGGGGGGGGAAGATTTTAGGACCCAAATGGAAGTAAGTTAAAAAGTCCTCGATGACGCACTGATTTTGTTAGGTTATCCTGGGTTGCTAACCCTCGGGTTAAAAAAAAAAAAATCCGAACGAAACATCTAAGATGTTTGGTTGGTTAAACATATAGATGGAGTTACAAAAAAGTGAATGCTAGTGCTGTGCAGAGATGCGAGATTAAAATATTTTTGGATCTGATACAAGGTAAGAATTGTCACAGTTGCTTTATGGTGATGACACTGCGCTTTTGAGAGATTCTGAATAGAAGTTGCAATGATTGGTCAACAAATTTAGTTAGGTATGTAGAAGGAAATTAAAAGTGAACATAGGAAAGAGCAACATGATGAGGGTAACAAAAAATTTAGGCAATGAAAGAATGGAGGAAGGTCGTATGCAGGAAGTAAATTTTTTTTTTTTTTTTTTTTCAACAAGTCATCCGTCTCCCACCGAGACAGATATTTGGGAGTGGTCTTATTAGCAGATGAATCCATGAAAAAAAGGGTACTATGGAATTGAAGGAGAAAAGGTGGGTGGTGCATTGAGGCATCTGTTGAGACAATATTGTCCATGGATCCAAAGAGGGAAATATGTGAGTGCACTATGCACTCCAAAACTCTTATATAGGTGCGGAGCATTGGTTGTGAATGTTTCAGCAAGGAGGAGGCTGAAAACAATGGAGATGCTATATTGAAGGCAATTTGTGGTGTGATATTATGCCGAGAATTTGTAACTTGGAGATCAGCATGTGTGGAGGTTACTAAAAGTATCATCAGAGGCACAGGAGGAGTTGTTGAGGTGGATTTGACATTTAGATAGGTGTAGGAAAATAGGATGACTTGGAAAGTATATCTGCAGTGGAAGGTAGGCCGGGTAGGGGTTGTCCTATTGAAGGTTGGAGGGAGTGGGTAAAGGAGCTTTTGTGTGTAAGGAGCTTGGACAACCAGCAGGCATGTTAGGAGTGGAAGCCAATGACATTTGGAATTTTATGAGCAGTTGGAGTGTGACCATGGTGACTTTGTGAAGGGATTCAGGAAAACTGGTTAGCCAGATTTGAATCCTTAAGGTGGGAAACAGTGCCTACACTCTCAAGGAGGTTTGCAGCATTTCAAGTTAGGAGAGGCAACTGAAATGTAGTATTGGCTCGCCTCTGTCAAGAGAGCGATAAAATGAATGATGGTGAAAGTGTTTTTCTTTTTTGGAAATCCTATTTGGGTTGGGGGAAATGGAAAATGTTTAGAAAAAAATTTGGAATGAAAAAAAAAACAGTGTAAAAGCCCAGGATTTTTTTTTACGTTCTACCAGCAATGTATCAGAAATAGTGAAGAACAATTGTTAAACAAAAATTAGGGGGGAAATGGTATAGTTTGGTGCTGGATCAAACGGTTGTATGGATATGGGGGCCCTGTGGATTGCGATCAGTAAAAACTCTATTTAAACGTCAAAAAAAAATGGCAAGGTTGAGGCAAAAAAACACCAAAGGGACAGGTCCAGGGTGTCGAGACAAAATAGCTGTTACAGCATGCTGTAATCAGCCAGTATTTCAAATGGAAGGAGGGGGGAGGGGTTTTTTTGGGTTTGAGTGGGAACAAGAGACTGGAGTGGTCACCCAGTTCACACTAGGAATTTTAGTTGACCAGATCGTAATTGTTTTCCGGCGGTGGATGTTGATTTTTAAATTTTTGTATATCTACTGCCATGCAGTTTTGGCCTGAATTTGTGTTAGGTAGTTGGACATTGCCCAAGACTCAGGTAGTAACGGGTTTTCACATGCCTTTATCTCAATGCATAATCTTTTATTCTCTTACTATGTTTTTAAAAATCTTTCCCCAATGTACTCTTGTGGACCCCAAGCAATATCGGCAGTTTGCTGCTAGTGGAGTTTTTTGAGTGGAAACCCTAGTCCCACCCAAAACCCAAAGTCCCTTTGGGGTATGAAATAATTTCTCTTATTAACTAAGATTATGTCGTTACAACCAGGTTCGGGGTTTTTGGGGGGGTTCCACGCAACGAAGTTTTTCTTTGGCAAAAAAGGTTCTTCTTCGGCGATTTCCCCTGTCCGCCCGGTAGTCGCGCCTCATCGGGGTGGGTGGTGAACTGAAATACTTAACATCTATTAATTCTTTAGCAAATTTAAACATTATATTTAAAAGTATTCTTTAAAAATTTTTCTAAAATTTTTTCATTTTGAATTTGAGTAAAACTATTTCATGGCCCAAAATGGACATTTTTTTTTTTTATATTTCTGAATGGGTAAAAAAGTGGGTGGGATACTAGTTAAATATTAATTATAAAAAGTAGTTTTGGGGTAAGTCAACTATTATGTGAAATATAAATTTTTTTCCAGGTATGTGAAAATTCGTAATATAGTTTTATGTATATATGTTTTTAAATTGATTTATTGTCAAGTTTTTAATGTGCATTTTACTGATGTATATTAATATGACATTTAATATACAGGATGTAAAATTTATTTATAAATATTTGTATTAATCCTACTATGTATAAAATTATTATTTTAATTTCATAAATGTTAATATATATTATTTCTGGTGTATATTTATGATTTATCATTTTAATGTCATAAATGGAAAAGGTTAAGGTGTAACAATGTTATAAATTTTAATATTTTGTGAATCATAGGTTGTACATATAATATTGGTGTATTTTGTGTATGAATCAGACATGCTTAGTGCTTCTTTTTAATAATAATAGAAGTACGTAGTAGTAACAATAATAGTGGTAGTAGCATTGTGTCAAGCATATCCAGTATTCTAGCAAGCATGTCAAGTATTGTAGCATGTCTAATATTTTTTCCTGTCCAGTATTGTATCAAGCATGTCCAATATTGTATCATGTCAACTACTGCTAAAGCTCCTGCTTCACACACGTAGGGCCCGGGTTCGATTCCCGCGGGTGGAAACATTTCGACGTGTTTCCTTACACCTGTTGTCCTGTTCACCTAGCAGCAAATAGGTAACTGGGTGTTAGTCGACTGGAGTGGGCTGCATCCTGGGGGGGCAAGATTGAGGACCCAAATGGAAGTAAGTTAAAAAGTCCTCGATGACGCACTGATTTTGTTAGGTTATCCTGGGTTGCTAACCCTCGGGTTAAAAAAAAAAAAAATCCGAACGAAACATCTAAGATGTTTGGTTGGTTAACATATAGATGGAGTTACAAAAAAAGTGAATGCTAGTGCTGTGCAGAGATGCGAGATTAAAATATTTTGGATCTGATACAAGTAAGAATTGTCACAGTTGCTTTATGGTGATGACACTGCGCTTTTGAGAGATTCTGAATAGAAGTTGCAATGATTGGTCAACAAATTTAGTTAGGTATGTAGAAGGAAATTAAAAGTGAACATAGGAAAGAGCAACATGATGAGGGTAACAAAAAATTTAGGCAATGAAAGAATGGAGGAAGGTCGTATGCAGGAAGTAAATTTTTTTTTTTTTTTTTTTTCAACAAGTCGTCCGTCTCCCACCGAGACAGATATTTGGGAGTGGTCTTATTAGCAGATGAATCCATGAAAAACAAAGGGTACTATGGAATTGAAGGAGAAAAGGTGGGTGGTGCATTGAGGCATCTGTTGAGACAATATTGTCCATGGATCCAAAGAGGGAAATATGTGAGTGCACTATGCACTCCAAAACTCTTATATAGGTGTGGAGCATTGGTTGTGAATGTTTCAGCAAGGAGGAGGCTGAAAACAATGGAGATGCTATATCTGAAGGCAATTTGTGGTGTGAATATTATGCCGAGAATTTGTAACTTGGAGATCAGCATGTGTGGAGGTTACTAAAAGTATCATCCAGAGGGCACAGGAGGAGTTGTTGAGGTGGATTTGACATTTAGATAGGTGTAGGAAAATAGGATGACTTGGAAAGTATATCTGCAGTGGAAGTAGGCCGGGTAGGGGTTTGTCCTATTGAAGGTTGGAGGGAGTGGGTAAAGGAGCTTTTGTGTGTAAGGAGCTTGGACAACCAGCAGGCATGTTAGGAGTGGAAGCCAATGACATTTGGAATTTTATGAGCAGTTGGAGTGTGACCATGGTGACTTTGTGAAGGGATTCAGGAAAACTGGTTAGCCAGATTTGAATCCTTAAGGTGGGAAACAGTGCCTACACTCTCAAGGAGGTTTGCAGCATTTCAAGTTAGTAGAGGCAACTGAAATGTAGTATTGGCTCGCCTCTGTCAAGAGAGTGATAAAATGAATGATGGTGAAAGTGTTTCTTCTTTTTTGGTAATCCTACCTTGGTGGGAAATGGCCAATGTGTTAGAAAAAAATTTGGATATGACAAACAAACAGTGTCAAAGTCCCAGGATTATTTACGTTCTACCAGCAATGTATCAGAAATAGTGACAGAACAATTGTTAAACAAAAATTATGGGGAAACTGGTTATAGTTTCTGAGTGCTGGATCAAACAGGTTGCTATGGATATGTGGGCCTGTGGATTGCGATCAGTAACACTCTAGTTAAACAGTCAACAAAAAATGGCCAAGGTGAGAGGCAAAAAACACCAAAGACAGGTCACAGGATCGTTGAGACAGAAATCAGCTGTTACAGCATGCTGTAATCAGCCAGTCATTTCAAATGGAAGGAGGGGGAGAGGGAGAGTTTTGGTTGAGCTGGGAACAAGAGACTGGTATTGTGGTCACCCAGTTCACACTAGGAATTTCTAGTTGACCAGACTCGTAATTGTTTTCCAGTCGGTGGACTGTTGATTATTAAAAGTATTTGTATATCTACAGTGCCATGCAGTCATTGGCCTGAATAATTGTGTTAGGTAGTTGGACATTGTCCACAGACCTCAGGCAGTGAACTATGTTCACATGCCTTTATCTCAATGACATAATCTTTTATTCTCTTACTACTGTTTCTTCAAATCTTTCCCTCAATGTCACATCTTGTGGATCGCCAGCATATCATCGGCAGCTTGCTGCTAGTGAGAGATTTTGAGTGGTAACCTAGCTACCACCCATAATCCTAAAGTACCTCTGGTATGTAATAATATTCTCTTATTAACTAAGATTATGTCGTTACATACCAGGTTCGTGGTTTGGGGTTCCACGCAACGAAGATTTTTCCTTTGGCAACAAAGGATTCTTCTTCGGACGATTTACCCCCTGTCCAGTCCGGTAGTCGCAGACCTCATCGGGGTGGGCTGGTGAACATGAAATACTTAACATCTATTAATTCTTTAGCAATCAAATCATTATATTTAAATGTAATTCTTTAAATTTTACTAAATTTTTATCATGTTTGAATTAGAGATAAATACTATTTCATGGCCAACATGCGACATTTTTTTTTTTCTATATTACTGAATGGGTAATAAGTGGAGTGGCATACTAGTTAACTATTAATTATAATAGTAGTTGGGATAAGTCAACTATTATGTGAAATATAAATTTTTCCATGGTATGTGAACCTTCAGTAATATAGTTTTATGTACTATATGTTTATTAAATATGATTTATTGTCAAGTGTTAATGTGCATTTTACTGATGTATATTAATATGACATTTAATATACAGGATGTAAAATTTATTTATAAATATTTGTATTAATCCTACTATGTATAAAATTATTATTTTAATTTCATAAATGTTAATATATATTATTTCTGGTGTATATTTATGATTTATCATTTTAATGTCATAAATGGAAAAGGTTAAGGTGTAACAATGTTATAAATTTTATATTTTTGTGAATCATAGGTTGTACATATAATATTGGTGTATTTTGTGTATGAATCAGACATGCTTAGTGCTTCTTTTTAATAATAATAGAAGTACGTAGTAGTAACAATAATAGTGGTAGTAGATTGTGTCAAGCATATCCAGTATTCTAGCAAGCATGTCAAGTATTGTAGCATGTCTAATATTTTTTCCTGTCCAGTATTGTATCAAGCATGTCCAATATTGTATCATGTCAACTACTGCTAAAGCTCCTGCTTCACACACGTAGGGCCCGGGTTCGATTCCTGGCGGGTGGAAACATTTCGACGTGTTTCCTTACACCTGTTGTCCTGTTCACCTAGCAGCAAATAGGTAACTGGGTGTTAGTCGACTGGAGTGGGCTGCATCCTGGGGGGGGGGCAAGATTGAGGACCCAAATGGAAGTAAGTTAAAAAGTCCTCGATGACGCACTGATTTTGTTAGGTTATCCTGGGTTGCTAACCCTCGGGTTAAAAAAAAAAAAATCCGAACGAAACATCTAAGATGTTTGGTTGGTTAACATATAGATGGAGTTACAAAAAAAGTGAATGCTAGTGCTGTGCAGAGATGCGAGATTAAAATATTTTGGATCTGATACAAGTAAGAATTGTCACAGTTGCTTTATGGTGATGACACTGCGCTTTTGAGAGATTCTGAATAGAAGTTGCAATGATTGGTCAACAAATTTAGTTAGGTATGTAGAAGGAAATTAAAAGTGAACATAGGAAAGAGCAACATGATGAGGGTAACAAAAAATTTAGGCAATGAAAGAATGGAGGAAGGTCGTATGCAGGAAGTAAATTTTTTTTTTTTTTTTTTTCTACAAAAAAGTCATCCGTCTCCCACCGAGACAGATATTTGGGAGTGGTCTTATTAGCAGATGAATCCATGAAAAACAAAGGGTACTATGGAATTGAAGGAGAAAAGGTGGGTGGTGCATTGAGGCATCTGTTGAGACAATATTGTCCATGGATCCAAAGAGGGAAATATGTGAGTGCACTATGCACTCCAAAACTCTTATATAGGTGCGGAGCATTGGTTGTGAATGTTTCAGCAAGGAGGAGGCTGAAAACAATGGAGATGCTATATCTGAAGGCAATTTGTGGTGTGAATATTATGCCGAGAATTTGTAACTTGGAGATCAGCATGTGTGGAGGTTACTAAAAGTATCATCCAGAGGGCACAGGAGGAGTTGTTGAGGTGGATTTGACATTTAGATAGGTGTAGGAAAATAGGATGACTTGGAAAGTATATCTGCAGTGGAAGGTAGGCCGGGTAGGGGTTGTCTTATTGAAGGTTGGAGGGAGTGGGTAAAGGAGCTTTTGTGTGTAAGGAGCTTGGACAACCAGCAGGCATGTTAGGAGTGGAAGCCAATGACATTTGGAATTTTATGAGCAGTTGGAGTGTGACCATGGTGACTTTGTGAAGGGATTCAGGAAAACTGGTTAGCCAGATTTGAATCCTTAAGGTGGGAAACAGTGCCTACACTCTCAAGGAGGTTTTTGCCAGCATTTCAGTTAGGAGAGGCAACTGAAATGTAGTATTGGCTCGCCTCTGTCAAGAGAGCGATAAAATGAATGATGGTGAAAGTGTTTCTTCTTTTTTGGTAATCCTACCTTGGTGGGAAATGGCCAATGTGTTAGAAAAAAATTTGGATATGACAAACAAACAGTGTCAAAGTCCCAGGATTATTTACGTTCTACCAGCAATGTATCAGAAATAGTGACAGAACAATTGTTAAATAAAAATTATGGGGAAACTGGTTATAGTTTCTGAGTGCTGGATCAAACAGGTTGCTATAGATATGTGGGCCTGTGGATTGCGATCAGTAACACTCTAGTTAAACAGTCAACAAAAAATGGCCAAGGTGTGAGGCAAAAAACACCAAAGACAGGTCACAGGGTCGTCGAGACAGAAATCAGCTGTTACAGCATGCTGTAATCAGCCAGTCATTTCAAATGGAAGGAGGGGGAGAGGGAGAGTTTTGGTTGAGCTGGGAACAAGAGACTGGTATTGTGGTCACCCAGTTCACACTAGGAATTTCTAGTTGACCAGACTCGTAATTGTTTTCCAGTCGGTGGACTGTTGATTATTAAAAGTATTTGTATATCTACAGTGCCATGCAGTCATTGGCCTGAATAATTGTGTTAGGTAGTTGGACATTGTCCACAGACCTCAGGCAGTGAACTATGTTCACATGCCTTTATCTCAATGACATAATCTTTTATTCTCTTACTACTGTTTCTTCAAATCTTTCCCTCAATGTCACATCTTGTGGATCGCCAGCATATCATCGGCAGCTTGCTGCTAGTGAGAGATTTTGAGTGGTAACCTAGCTACCACCCATAATCCTAAAGTACCTCTGGTATGTAATAATATTCTCTTATTAACTAAGATTATGTCGTTACATACCAGGTTCGTGGTTTGGGGTTCCACGCAACGAAGATTTTTCCTTTGGCAACAAAGGATTCTTCTTCGGACGATTTACCCCCTGTCCAGTCCGGTAGTCGCAGACCTCATCGGGGTGGGCTGGTGAACATGAAATACTTAACATCTATTAATTCTTTAGCAATCAAATCACTATTTTTAAATGTAATTCTTTAAATTTTACTAAATTTTTATCATGTTTGAATTAGAGATAAATACTATTTCATGGCCAACATGCGACATTTTTTTTTTTCTATATTACTGAATGGGTAATAAGTGGAGTGGCATACTAGTTAACTATTAATTATAATAGTAGTTGGGATAAGTTAACTATTATGTGAAATATAAATTTTTCCATGGCATGTGAACCTTCAGTAATATAGTTTTATGTACTATATGTTTATTAAATATGATTTATTGTCAAGTGTTAATGTGCATTTTACTGATGTATATTAATATGACATTTAATATACAGGATGTAAAATTTATTTATAAATATTTGTATTAATCCTACTATGTATAAAATTATTATTTTAATTTCATAAATGTTAATATATATTATTTCTGGTGTATATTTATGATTTATCATTTTAATGTCATAAATGGAAAAGGTTAAGGTGTAACAATGTTATAAATTTTAATATTTTGTGAATCATAGGTTGTACATATAATATTGGTGTATTTTGTGTATGAATCACACATGCTTAGTGCTTCTTTTTAATAATAATAGAAGTACGTAGTAGTAACAATAATAGTGGTAGTAGCATTGTGTCAAGCATATCCAGTATTCTAGCAAGCATGTCAAGTATTGTAGCATGTCTAATATTTTTTCCTGTCCAGTATTGTATCAAGCATGTCCAATATTGTATCATGTCAACTACTGCTAAAGCTCCTGCTTCACACACGTAGGGCCCGGGTTCGATTCCCGGCGGGTGGAAACATTTCGACGTGTTTCCTTACACCTGTTGTCCTGTTCACCTAGCAGCAAATAGGTAACTGGGTGTTAGTCGACTGGAGTGGGCTGCATCCTGGGGGGGCAAGATTGAGGACCCAAATGGAAGTAAGTTAAAAAGTCCTCGATGACGCACTGATTTTGTTAGGTTATCCTGGGTTTTCTAACCCTCGGGTTAAAAAAAAAAAAAAATCCGAACGAAACATCTAAGATGTTTGGTTGGTTAACATATAGATGGAGTTACAAAAAAAGTGAATGCTAGTGCTGTGCAGAGATGCGAGATTAAAATATTTTGGATCTGATACAAGTAAGAATTGTCACAGTTGCTTTATGGTGATGACACTGCGCTTTTGAGAGATTCTGAATAGAAGTTGCAATGATTGGTCAACAAATTTAGTTAGGTATGTAGAAGGAAAATTAAAAGTGAACATAGGAAAGAGCAACATGATGAGGGTAACAAAAAATTTAGGCAATGAAAGAATGGAGGAAGGTCGTATGCAGGAAGTAAATTTTTTTTTTTTTTTTTTTTCAACAAGTCATCCGTCTCCCACCGAGACAGATATTTGGGAGTGGTCTTATTAGCAGATGAATCCATGAAAAACAAAGGGTACTATGGAATTGAAGGAGAAAAGGTGGGTGGTGCATTGAAGGCATCTGTTGAGACAATATTGTCCATGGATCCAAAGAGGGAAATATGTGAGTGCACTATGCACTCCAAAACTCTTATATAGGTGCGGAGCATTGGTTGTGAATGTTTCAGCAAGGAGGAGGCTGAAAACAATGGAGATGCTATATCTGAAGGCAATTTGTGGTGTGAATATTATGCCGAGAATTTGTAACTTGGAGATCAGCATGTGTGGAGGTTACTAAAAGTATCATCCAGAGGGCACAGGAGGAGTTGTTGAGGTGGATTTGACATTTAGATAGGTGTAGGAAAATAGGATGACTTGGAAAGTATATCTGCAGTGGAAGGTAGGCCGGGTAGGGGTTGTCCTATTGAAGGTTGGAGGGAGTGGGTAAAGGAGCTTTTGTGTGTAAGGGAGCTTGGACAACCAGCAGGCATGTTAGGGTGGAAGCCAATGACAATTGGAATTTTATGAGCATTGGAGTGGGGACCATGGTGACTTTGTGAAGGGATTCGGGAAAAAACTGGTTAGCCAGATTTGAATCCTTAAGGTGGGAAACGGCCTACACTCTCAAGGAGGTTTGCAGCATTTCAAGTTAGGAGAGGCAACTGAAATGTAGTATTTTGGGTCGCCTCTGTCAGAGAGGATAAAATGAATGATGGTGAAAGTGTTTCTTCTTTTTTGGTAATCCTACCTTGGTGGGAAATGGCCAATGTGTTAGAAAAAAAAATTTTGGGTATGACAAACAAACAGTGTCAAAGTCCCAGGATTATTTACGTTCTACCAGCAAAAGTATCAGAAATAGTGACCCAAAAAATTGTTAAACAAAAAATTATGGGGAAACTGGTTATAGTTTCTGAGTGCTGGATCAAACAGGTTGCTATGGATTGTGGGCCTGTGGATTGCGATCAAATAACACTCTAGTTAAAGGTCAACAAAAAATGGCCAAGGTTTGGGGGCCAAAAAACACCAAAGACAGGTCACAGGGTCGTGAGACAGAAATCAGCTGTTACAGCATGCTGTAATCAGCCAGTCATTTCAAATGGAAGGAGGGGGAGAGGAGAGTTTTGGTTGAGCTGGGGAACAAGAGGGCTGGTATTTTGGTCACCCCGTTCACACTAGGAATTTCTAAATTGACCAGACTCGTAATTGTTTTCCAGTCGGTGGACTGTTGATTATTAAAAGTATTGTTTATCTAAAAGTGCCATGCAGTCATTGGCCTGAATAATTGTGTTAGGTTGTTGGACATTGTCCACAGACCTCAGGCAGTGAAATATGTTCACATGCCTTTACTCAATGACATAATCTTTTATTCTCTTTCTACTGTTTCTTCAAATCTTTCCCTCAATGTTCACATTTTTTGTGGATCGCCAGCATATCATCGGCAGCTTGCTGCTAGTGGAGATTTTGAGTTTGGTTAAACCCAGCTACCACCCATAATCCTAAAGTACCTCTGGTAGTAATAATATTCTCTTATTAACTAAGATTATGTCGTTACATACCAGGTTCGTGGTTTGGGGTTCCCAGCAACGAAGATTTTTCCTTTGGAACAAAGGTTCTTTTTCCTTT